CTGCAGAGGGGCTGTGGTGATGACACACCTTTTGACTAAGCCGTGACTCACCCTCCAGTCTTTGTCCCAGTGTGTGAATACGAATTGCCTGTTTTGTTCATGGCAGTAGTTTAGTACTATGGTTTATACTCTTTCTAGCTTATCACTTATCCAGCTCTCTTATCTTTGAGTCCCTTTGTCTGTTAACTGTTTGCCAAAGTTTGTAATTTGTGTCCTTACTAGTGTGGTCACTATTCTGTACACATGTGGTTATTGGGGGGAAAGGTCCCCACAGGACACAACAAGCTGCAGCAGAGTGTTCCTTGCAGCCCTTTACTAAGCAGTGTTTGTTAGCGCCAGAGGGATTGTCAACTGAATGGATGACTGAAGAAAGTACATGCACACCACATTAATTTCCCATCCCTCTGCCATCTGAGATGCTGAGGCACTTCAAAGGTTGAGCAGGATGGTGTTAATCCAGGGGCAGCAGCACTTTGCTGTGCTGTACTCAACTCTCTACACTTCCTCTCAGCCTTGGCCCCCAGCTTTTTCAAAGTGTGATCAAAGTGCAGTTTGTTTCTAATGGATGGGCTTACTTTGGACCAGAGGCTGCCTGACAGGGACCAGAAAGTGGAAGATGGTGTGACACAAGTTATCTCAGTATCTTATGCATATGTACATGCACAGATATACACACACACTCACACACACTGCCTTTTAATGATCAGAGTTCATATCTATGACAGAACTCTGCAGCTGGATACCATATGTACATGTGTATAAGCCATAACACGTGCTAGCGTGAGCAACTGTTTAACCGTTCAGTCAGTCACTTTGTTGTTAAAGCTCTGTCTCCCTTGTCATACATTACGTTCACATTATAGGCCTTAAGGCTCCATTTCTTTTTGTCAGATTCAGTTTTTATCTCCGAACACTGTTGCGCTCCTAAATTGCCATACATGCACAGATTTAAAGTAATTGAATGTGAGCCACATGCACACAATAATTACAACAATGATGCAATTTGTGCAACAGTCAAATCGCATGATTTCCTCAAAAACTGCTTGGTTGTGACATGTTCCTTCTACCTTGATGTGAACAAAAGCTTCTGCATAAATGTCCAACAAATGTGAAGCATCCTCTTCTCTCCACTAACGCCATCTCTGTTGTTGCTGTCCTCTGTGTTTATTTTTACTGGACTGTGAAACACTGATACTGAATGATGATGACAGGTGATATGTGCATGTACATGGGAGTGAGGCATTTAAAAAGAAAAAAAATGGGGAAACATTTTCTGGGTTTTATTAAATTGCCAACAGTGTAGAAAACACAACAATCGAGTAGTAAACAGGGTTTACTATTATAGTTAATTGATGATTGTAGAAGAATACATTGAATGTATGTTGTCTGTGTTACTGTGCTGTTTTTTTTTTTTTGCACTGATTTTATTCTATTTATTGTGATTATATTCTGCCATGTAAAGTACTTTGGTCAACTGGGTGTTGTTTTTAAAGTGCTTGTATAAATAAATTTGATTTGATACTTGCACATAAATAATACAGTATTTCTTTAAATTTGAATGGTATAGTTATTTACCCAGTTCAGTTTCAGATTCTATGAGGATTTTATTGCTGTAGTTTGTGAAGGAAAAACTATCAGAAGCAGCTTTTTTATATGACAGTCCACAACTACAGCAACAAAGTAGCTCCAGCCTCAAAATGGTCTACCTCACCCCAGCCTGTCGGGGCAGAAGGCCACTCACCTCTGTCGGAGGTTTCTTGCGTTAAAGCGAATTTTTCTTCCCTGCTGTCGCCAAGTGCTTGCTCAAGGTGGATTTGTTGTGTTTTTCCTTGATGATAATAATAATAAGGTCTTGACCTTGCTTTATAAAGTGTCTTGAGGTGACTTTTGTTATGATTTGGCGCTATACAAATAAAATTGAATTTGATTGACAATGATCATAAAACTGAATGGACACTAAGAAGTGTCCTCTATTGCTAGTTTGAAGCATTTGGATTTTTCTGACTTGAACCTTTCTCAGTTTTAGTGACACCTTTTGCTTTTTTAAATTGTGTTCTTTATGTAAAGTAAGTCAGCATTAGTCCACTGCTGCTGCCTCAGTTTTTAATAGAGATAGAAACACTTGAAGGGTAAGCAGGTGGACGGTGTGGGTCTGAATTGACCATAGATAGTGGAGGGAGACAGATGTGAGGGATATGAGGCCATACTGCCTGGACTGTGCTGTTTGCTCACCACAAGACAGACCTAAAGCTATTAGCTTAACAAACTCAGTAATAAGACATACTGTACCTGTGGTGGATGACATACTGCAGGTGAAGGTGAAATTATTGCTTCTCTGCAAGTTTCTGCTTGTTTAGCAGGTGTTTTGATAAACGGCTCTTGCTGGCATAGGTTTTATTGCACATATAGAGCTGAGCAAAGGTGTTCAGCCTCTCCCTCTGTAGCGCCTCAGCTCCTGGCTGCTGTTTGTGTGTTGAGGAGCGGAGCTGCAACTTCAGTCCAACTCCCAACACAGAGTGAAGCCGCTAGCTAATATTTACAAAATACACAGCTTGCTCTAACTTTAAACAATAATAATTTTGTGATTTGCACATTTTGTACTATTTGTAATTCTGTCTGCCAGAACGTAGACGTTTGGTTCACGGTTTCAGAATAGTTGCACCCCTAATGTTTGCTGTTACTCTTGTAGTCTGAAATATAGAATTGGGTAATTTGTCACGCTTGACAGTGTGTTTGCAAACAGTAGTGCAGTAGTAGTCTCTGTCTAATTCTGTGGTAGACTGCAGGAGCAAGCTGTCTTACATGAGTTTTTCCTCTTATACTCTCCTTTACTAACCTCAAGCAAAAATTATTTTATCCTGTTTCTCAACTTCTTTCTCAGCCTCCTTTTTGTTCCTCCCCTTCTGGTTTTCATCACTCTGACTTATTGGCTTCTGGCTTCCGTCTTTCTCCGTGGCTGAGAGGTGTGTACACTGACCTTTGGTAACCCCTGAGCTCACCCAGAGCCAGACTGAGGAGAGACGACTGAGTGCACAATAATTAAACGTGCCTCTTTGTCCTTGATATAAATTTGGACCTTTTTTTTTTCTTGAAGGGAGGAAAGGCTTCCATTCATGCAACAAGGAAGAATGACACAGGGGAAAAGTCTGGATCTGTTATTAGTGAGAGGGCTATCAGCAGGAGGGGTGAGGAGTGGTCAGCTGCAGGCAGTCATGTTCTTTTTCTGAAGAACGACCAGTTAGGCTTCAGCCTGAAGGGACCGCTTTGCATCGTGCTAAAGGGGGTTTAAGTGAAATGGACACTTGGCTGATGGAGCACCTGCATTTGCATTTCTGCCCTCTCAGCCTCCTGTTCTGTCTCCCCTATTCTACTCTAGAGCCTTTGGCTATCATTGGAGAGAGCGGTGCATGCTGGGAGGCCATGTGGGGTGCTGTGTCTTGGTTGGTCAGCAGAGAGTAGGAGGGGGTATGGCTGTGTTGCAGCTCTAGGCCCCTGCTGCCTGCCATCTCTCCTTGGTGCTTTCAGGTCTTTGAGTTTGCTTTGCCCGTTACTGCCACTTCATAAAACCTCAATGGCTGAAACACAATGCCGGGCAGAAGAGAGGTCATGGCTGAACTTGAACCTCAGCTCCAGCCAAGCAGCCACTGGCAAATCAAGAAGCCCTAATCAGACAGGTTGCAATTCCAACCATCCCTTCTGCTGTTATAGCAGCAAACTCAGACGTGTGCAGTATGCTCAGAGCTCAGTCTTTTTCTCTTGATGCTTCATTTCACAGTTGAGATATTGCCTTGTTTATATGACTCTAAAATTGCTTGAAGTATCAAAAAGGACCTGTTTTGCTAATAATGGTGTTGCCTTAGGCCTGGGCAATGAAACAATATACTGCAATAGGCAATCCTCAGGGATGAGACATTTGTTCAGTAGGATGGCTGGTTAAAAGCAGTGCGTGAAGACCACATAAAGGTGGTTACATGAACAAGCCCCAAGCATGCTCCTTCCCTAGCTCTAAAGCAGCCAATCATAGCCCTTGATAATGCAGCGTGCCACAGGTGATATGCAAACAACCAATCAGGTGTGTAGTTTGGTTGCTCCCTCAACATGCAGCACTACAACAGAAGCAGCATAGAATGCGAGGGAGAAGATGAGTAGAGGAAGTGAAGAATTGTCAATAAAAAAAGGACAGGTCCACTCAGCAGTATGGCACTTATTTTTATTTAAAAGGAGTATCTCCCCATCCATGTATGTCTTGATTAAAAAAATAAATAAATAGTGGTTTAATTAAACCTTTCGCTCCTCTGCTGTTTATTAAAAATATAGCCTTATAATAGCTAATTAAAATGATCAGTAATTGTTATTGATTGATATGGAAAAAATTATCCTAACATTTTTTTGCCATATCACCGAGCCCTATGTTGCCTTGTTGAATTGTCCATATCCACAAGGGGCTGTGTAATGTAAATTTACCTTCTGCCCAAGTCTACAAGGGTGCATGTACCCTCAGTGCCCTGGGAGTGTGGGGAGTGTGGACAGTCTGCACAGAGTTCAGTTTTGGGTTCCACATGGATGGATGCCTGCACAGAGTTTGCATGGACTGTCCACACTGCCAGTGCACTGATTGCACATGCGCCAGACTGGACATTAGTTTTGTGCATTGTATGTTTATTCTATTAATTTCCCATCCTTGGTCCTTCTCCTAGTCAGTGGTTGCAGATGCCGTTTTCTTTTTTTTCCCCCATTTCACTTTTTCTATGTTCAGCTAGATACAAAAAACAAAGTAGTAGTATGCTGACTCTTGATTGGTGTATGATTTAGAAGTTTATTTGTGTCTCTCTGAGGAAACCACAAATAAGCCTTTATTCTTGGAAACTCTTCTGGTTCTCTCATTGTGTGGATGTGCTGTAGCAATGTGTAGCATTACTTTAATCATTTGCACTGATATCTCTGATCTGTTAAACAAAAATTTATGCAGAGTTTTTAACCTACCATTTCTTTGTGTCCAGGAGCTGGAGAAAGCCCTGTCAGAGCAGGACTTGGACTTCCTTGGGGACCTCGTTGCCTGTCTGTTGCAGGGATGCTACCAGCGCACTGACATCACGTAAGTATACAAGAGAAAAAGAAGCTGGCATATTGGCAAAGGCAGGTGACACAAATATTATTAGCTGTTAAGGTTTTTATGTGGCATGCACAGCAGCTGAATGAAGCTTTTAATCAGGGAAGAGGGGAGAAGTTTCTAGTAAATAGGAAACCTAGGTTAGGTATTGGCAAGGTCCAGCCCTTTTCTCCAATGTACCTTTCTAGTTGTTGTTTCCCAAAGTGTTTTTACTTATACAACCCCATTTCCAAAAAAAGTTAGGTTGCTGTGTAAACTGTAAATTAAAAACTATATCCACTGATTAGCAAATAATTTAAAACATACATTTAAATGAAAATGGTACAAATGCAACAAACAAAATGTTAAAGCTGTGAAATGTTACTGGTTTTTGAAAAATATATGCTCATTTTAAATTTGCTGCCAGCAACACATATCAAAAAAGTTGGCAGTTTTACCACTGTGTTGCACCACCTCTTCTTTCAACAACACTCAGTAAGTATTTGGAAACTGAGGAGACCAACTGTTTTAGTTTTGAAAGAGAAATGTTTTCCTGTTTGGCCTTGATATAGGATTTCTGCTGCTCAACAGTTTGGGGCCTCCTCTGTTGTATTTGTCACTTCGTAATGCACAAAATATTTTCAGTAGGTGACAGGCCTGGACTGCAGGCAGGCCAGGTTAGCACCCAGGCTCTTATTATGGAGCCATGCTGTTGTGGAATGTGGTTTAGCATTGTCTTGTTGAAATAATTAAGGCCTTCCCTGAAAAAGATCATGTTTGGCTGGCATCACATTTTGCTTCAAAACCTGCATATGTTGTTCACAGTAGGGAGACCAAATACCATGATACAATGCAAAAAAAAAAAGATACCCTCTGTTCATCTCAAATAATGATAGTTTTTAAACTTGTATTTGTGGATGCAGTGATGACTCATGCTCACTGACTAAGCTTTTCAGAAGAGTTCCTGAGCCCATCTACAGGATCATTCAGAATCGGTCACTATGTAGTGTCACCCAAGGGCCAGAAGGTCATGGCCATTCACTATAGGTTTTCAGTCTTGCCCCTTACTCTCAGATTTTTTGAATCTTTTAATGATATTATGTACTGTAGATGATCAAAACAACAACATTACTTATAAGACTATATGTCATAAAGGTTCTCCTGGGCTGCAACACCGGTCTCTGTTGCGAACGAAAGCTGCTGTAGGTACCTTTTCTGCTATAGCTCACTAGCTTTTGCTGTAAAACAAAACAGTCGCACATCAGCCTGCAACTGCAACACCTTGTGGAAGACTCCTGCTTGTGCATTGAGTGCATGGGCAGAGTGCACAGAGCTAGGAAGTTAGGTTGACAGGCAGGTAGGCCATCCAATGGTTTTGCTTTGGATGAGTAAAATTACTCGGTATTTTTCAGCCCTGCTCCTGCCACTGATAACAGATTATTTTCTTTATGTTGTCAGTTTATTCAATGCGTTCATTGCCATTGGGATAAAAGAGAATTTCAATAAACGTAACAAAAAATGCTTCTGAAAGGAATTGCCAACTGTACCTTTAACAGACCCAGTATAGTACAGTAGGTGAACACATTACTTGTTTTTGTTAGGTAAAATAAGAATTTGTTAAACAAAATATTGGCGGCACAGTGGAAAAGAATCAGTGAACTTTGTTTTTAGTTTTATTTGTTGCTGTGAGGGGGGGGAGAGCATATCTGTCAATTTCAAATTAGTCATTGCACCCAGGATGTCTGAGTCACTGGCACAATGACTCACTGAGGAGTTAGAATTTACTCACCATATGGTGCATGTAGGTTTGTGGTTAAAGTCATACTAGAATATATGAAAGCAGCATAGCCACTGAAACCTTTCTCTTCCCTGTGATCAAATGATGGAAGAAAGTGAGTATGTACCAGAGGTGGTTATTCAAATTTACACATGAGCACAAACAGAGCCTTTTCTCTCATGGGGCTTTCTTCTCTTTACACCTATTTTAAGCCATCATTAGAAAGTAGCATAGTGGTACCAGTGAACTGATAAGTGGAGGCAGGACTGCTCTAGTCTGGTTTTACCACCCAGTCAGCCAGTAACAGGAGGACAACCTGCTTTATTGGACTGGACAGGCGCTGGCAACCTGGGGGTAGCTGCTCAGCACTGGTCTTTCACAGAACTGCCCTTTTCATCCACACATGTTAAATGCTCTGCCAGAGTGGGGGAAAGGAGGGAGAGAGGGAGGATGTTGGAGAGGACGTGGGACAGAAAGGATGGGGTAGTGGGAGGGGGACGCTGCAGCTGTGTGAAAAGTGCACTCTGCTCTTTCAAGATAAGCCATTTTTTTTTCTGTCCCTCTTTCTCTGCGGTGCTGCATAGATTCTCCCTGAGCCCTTGTTCTGTTCATCTGAGTTGGAACTAAACAGTGCAGATTAATTGGCTAGAACTAAACCGGAACCAACATTTATTTACCAGCAGAGATACAAACCAACTCCCATTCAAAGAAATCAGTATCCCCCCTCCCCACCTCCTCCGCCTCTACAGCCACTATGTTGGTTTGAACTTTGTTTCCTAAACTGTGAATTTCAAAAGGACTATTGTTAATATTGAGTCTTGGTGTATTTGGCTTTACAGTGTACAGAGAGGATTTGCATCTGAGTTGTTTGCATTTATCCATATTGACATACCTTCTTCCTGGGCTCCTATTTATTACAATAAACATCACACCAGAGTTTTCAGATGGTTTAATTTGTAGTTAATTTATAACAGACGGAATTGAATCTTACATTACAAATCTAACAAGTGTGTTTCAAATGACCTTACAGTGAATGAGTCACCTAAATTACTTAATATCAGTTACAAAACAGAGGAAATGCCAGTTGTTTCAGAACAGCACACAGTAAACCACAGGATAAAATTGACACATGGGAAAGACACAAGAGATGTAGTTAATCTACATGTAGTCTTTGTTCAACAGGAACAGCACAAGATAAGTGTGATAAGAAAATGCAATGTCAGTCACAGAATTGTCAGTTGCTGCTTTGTATATACAATAGGTATAGTGCTCGTCACAACACTGAGCTAATACAAGCTTCTTTTTTTTGGCCACTCACATTTGCCAATCTTTCCTGTTGTTTTGCTCTCCTCTTTAGCCCTCAGGCATTTAGCAATTACCTGGATGACATTATCAGCTACCGGTGGGAATTGGAAGAGGGGAAGCCCAACCCACTGAGAGAAGACTCTTTCGAGAATCTCCCTCCTCGTACTCAGGTGGAGCTGCTGCACCGGCTTTGCGACTACCGTCTGGATGCTGCTGATGTTTTTGAACTGCTTAAGGTATACCCTATTCCTCATGGGGATCAGCTTAAAGAATGTGGACATGCTTGTTTTCATAAATGCAGTTTCAAATTGGTTCTATGCATGACATTCACTTTGGAGTTTATTTTATTTTGGCAGCTTAATCCCATCAAACTCATGAAGTTGTGGGTGATACTGGTGTTCAGCAGTTTGCACCTACTGAGGCTACATTAGTTAATATATGACAGCAGAATGTTAACACATTGTGGCAGCTACTTGCTGTTTCTTTAATTATTTTCACCTTCTATAGTAGTAGTTGTCTATTGGCTATTGTGTGCCTTACTTATAATGCAGTCAGGATGTGACCAGAGCACACTCTAACCCAAAACTGGATGGTGAATTTTAAAGCACCACAAGAATTTGCTTTAAATCATTTACTAATACTGTTGGAGTGTTTTGCTGTGGGCTAAGAAGGAGGTGTAAACTGTTAAATATATTTACACTTGTATTTGTAACGGAATGCTATCAGTCTAACAAGGACAACCTTCTAGACAATAGCCCCATACTGGCTCATGTCTGTACTGACATAAATTGAGGTGTGATAACTTGACAGTTTTTACGCCATGTTATATGTCAGTTTATAATTTTCCTCTTAATACATTGTACTGTTTTTTTTTTTCTTGAGTTATGATTTTTTTAATGTATCACATTGAATTTATGAAAGCACTCGGTAACATACTGAAGGTGCCTGATCCCCTCTGTATGATTCACAGCCATGCAAGCTCAAAGGATTAAGTGACATCATCCACTGACTGAAGCATGATCCTCCTACACATGATTTTAAAAAATATAATGCAATCCTCCACCCCTCTTTTCAGGGGCTGGATGCAGACAGCCTGAGGGTGGAACCACTGGGGCAAGATGGAAATGGAGCCCTCTACTGGTATTTTTATGGTACTCGTATGTACAAAGAAGAGCCAGTCAAGAGGAAAGCAGAAAAGATCAGGTAAATATTAGACAGCATCTCATTATCTTCTTTCAATATCCAGTACACCAAACATGAATGTTATGCCCATTGTCATGTTTTTTGTGGTTGATTAGGCATGTAGTAAGTGTGTAATTGCAGTGGAAGTCTGACACTTGTTTACCGGCCTGTTAGAGTTAAAGGCTGTCATTTTAGATAATTCTACTTCATGTTGTGTTTTGCAGCAGTGAAACCCCTGAATTAACATTACCAGAGAAAAAGAAAAGGGGGAGACCGCCAAAGAAGAGAAAGCTGGAAGAACCTCAGCTAAGGTGAAAAACTTTTTTGTCTGTCAGTGCAGTCAGCATATTGAAGATAATTGTGGATATTTGTAGGTATGCATGTACTGGTAAAAAAGAATACATGCATTTTACTGCCACAGCTGATGCCATAGGAGCTTGTTTTGCAATGTGGTCTAAGTGCAAATATATTAGTTAGGGTTTTTTGTAAAATCATGTATAAAACTCAGTTGTTGATGGACCTGTAGTCTACTGCTACAGAAATGTAATTTTAGTTCTCATACATTAATTGGCTCTGGAAAATTTGCATTATGTTTTTGTTTTTTAATGTTACCCGCTCACCTTGACTGTGATACTGTATAGTTTAGATTTAATTTTGATGCAGTTGAAGGATTAACAGAAGGCTGAGAAGGGATTTACTGCTGCAGAACATGTTTCACAGAGATATACTATATATGTCTCAATACGAGTATAATTTAATGTTCAAAAAACCTAAAGGGCAACGCACACTAGCAGTGTTGCTCCCAGTGTGTGTTACAGACTCATCACAGTGTGCATTTCTTTTAGTAGAAATGGAAATGTAATTTCATTTACAAAGATTTAGATTTATTAATTTTCAGTTTTTTTTTTTTTGTTCCTTTCAGTGAGGTGGAAAGTGAAGTGTCAGAAGTGAAGACAGATAATGGGCTGGAAGATCCTCCACCTATCACAGGTGACAGGATCTTCTTAATATGAGGAATTTATTTTAATGACTATACTTGAGGAGTCTGTTTTATTTGTACATTGTTAAAGGTTTGACCACCAAACTCACAGATCTAATTGTCTCTACATATTTTTCATAGAATCAGAAAGCCAGTGTCGCTTCTCTTTGCCTCAACCAGGCCGTAAGCGTGGCGCTTGGTCCCTTGTGTGTGATACAGAGGAGCAGTGGGTCAGACTGGCAGAAAGCATCAAAGACAAAGCCTCCCCACAGGACCGCCACCTCTACCGTGTCATCAGCCAGAACTTCCTGCCTGAGATCAGCAGCATGATTGAGCACAAGGTCAAACACCATAGAGACAATGCTGTTAGTCCCCATTTCAGTGGTTCATAATGTCTTTTGTGTTTTCTCAATTTTTCTACATACTCTAGATTCTGCAGTATAAAAGTCATTTTATACAAACTTAGATTTCTTATATTTAGGTAATATAAAAATTGTGTAATGTAGATCGAAAGATTGAGCAAAGTCTATATTCATCTACGGTCATATTCTGGCACACCTTACTGTAGTTCTCCAGCAGTTGTTTTTGAGATCATGGACTTTTAAACCTAGGCCAGCTGCAGGACAAGTGGAGTGAAGGAAAGCCGGTCTGTGCTTGCCCTTAATTCTGACACCAGATTGGTAACGAAGTTGGCCTCAGGTCTTTAACTTGAGCCTCTGGAGAACTGCAGTCAGCTTTTTTTGAGTTTGGCCACAACTTGAGTCATTCTGATTTGTCATTTTCCATATGTTGCATACCTAAGTGGGGGAGATTACAGTCATACATTTTGCCTGGATCCTTATGAACATGAGTCAAGACCAGCACTACCCACTCAGTTTTCCTTCTAGTATACTTCTATAGTTTATAATGGAATTAATTTTACTCACTGAATGCCACAGCTCGTCAAAACTAGAGTAGGTTCTTGATGTTCATGATTGGGTTCTTCCCACTCTTGTAATAATCACCAGCACTGACGTTTGCTGTATAAATGCTTTCAGCTTTTCTCTGCCATCATCAGCATTGAAGTAAAAAAAAATCCTGTTGACAGTTTGATGGCAGCACAGGGTCACTCTCTTATCACTAATAGTAAATGTGATCTTGTCCTTCACTGACTGCACACATACTCGCATTGTATGTGGCATTCAGAAGACTTTGTGTATAGCTTCTTTCAGTATAGAATATTATTAGAATCATTGTGGTGGTTCATTGTAATGAAAGCAACAATACAACCACAAAGTTTTTTTTATTTTGTAATTGTTTGCTCTTGTATTACCGTAATTTCCGGACTATAAGCTGCTACTTTTTTCACACACCCTCATCATGGAAAACACATGACGAAATGCATATGATGCATCTGTCAAGTTAAAGGCGACCGATCTGGCTGTCAAAATATCTCATGTTACAACGTGGACACCTGCGTCTGTGTACAAACTGTTTTTTCGTTTTAAATTTAGTGGGTGCGGCTTATATTCAGGTGCGCTCACATAATCCGCTAGT